TACTGTATTTTAATTAGATAATATGTACTAGTAAAATAAATATTAATTAATAAGATTTTAAACTCTTTCTCCTTCCTTGAGAACCTGTTATGAGTTTGGACATACCTTTAGGAAGAAACCGGATGAAGAGGGATGGAGCCAAACATATTCCTACTTAAACTTTTAAGGATCCAACTCGGTTCGAGTGCTGGTCCTTCAGATTCCTCTTAATTTTTGTAATTGTGTCTGAATCATTTAACTGATTAAGTTTTATGAGTAATAATTTCTTTGTTTCTTCCTTAATTAACAATAATGTAGAGAAATATTTTCACCCAGTCGACATTTCAGCAGAAGAATATGATTTTTGAAATACTCCGAGCACGATTTGACCAGCTTTGAGATGTTATCTGCACGTGTGATATTTCATCTAAATAGCTTAACCCAACAAAATGATTCTGTTGTGAAAAATTCAGTCACGTGATATCACCTATTGTTTTTTTTAATAATGAGCTAAAGCCGGAAAAGACAGTCGTGATTTAGAATTAAATTAATGAATCCACTAGTTTAAAAAGAAAAGAACGCAAACATTATTACACGGAGGGAAAAAATTAATTTAAAGCGATAAAATTGATTGAATTTTAGGACAATTAAACACCGGAAACTGAAATTTTCGACATTTTATTATTATTATTATTATTATTAAATGCAGCATGTTGAATTTGCTATCACTTATAAAGGTTATTAAAAATATTTTTTTAATGATGGAAAGACGCCAAATTGTTTGGTGTTAAGAATAAATTTTGACTAATTAAATGAAATTTATTGCTAGAATTTTCTTCTATAATACTAGAACTTTTTAAAGATTTTTGTTTCCAATAACAATGGATGATAATCCTACGTAAAACACTCTCGACGACATAAAAACTATATATTAGCAAGAAATTAAAAAAAGAAATTTTAAAAAATTTCCAATGCTTTGTTCTATTTTAAAAAATCTGTACAAAAGAGTCCTCTCGCAAAAAAAGTCTCTGCCGTACAGGGTTGAAAGTACTCGCAGTTTTTCAACTTTCCTTTGTTAATTTCTTGTTAATATATTTTTTGTTATCGTCGGAAGTGTATTATAATTTATGAAGTTTATTGTTAAATCTGACGAGTCGTTATCGGCCTTTAAATAATACCGTATTTATTTTCATTTTTTTTTCTTTTCTTAAATGTAACTGTTAAGTTTGTCTAATTCAAATTTAGAAGTTTTTTAATCGTTACAACGGAGTTACAAAGTGAAAATGTCTTCTCTCTACTGACACTTCAAGCAGAACATTTAACATCCTTAAAGATATCTCACAACTTTATAAGCACGTCCACATTATTTCAATCGATACGTGTTTGTTTGCATCTATAAAAGTTATATATGTGCATATTTTATTACAGGATGATTATAATAAATTTACTGGAAATTCTAGAGGGTCTGACCGTCGACTGTAAGAACAAAAATACTGTATTTTTAAGTTTGTTAAGTATATGCATAGTAAACATCAAACACGTTAAGTTTTTTGCTCTGTTATGATGCGATTTTTGATAATTTTTTTTATCTTTACACTTAACGCGCAGTAAAGAATAACTATCTTAAGTAGGAAAAAAGCAGTTTGTCCAGAAATTTTTTTCAAGTTAAAAATTGTAACATAATACCGTTTCATCTAGCCTATTTTCATTATCATATTCTAGAAAAATTTCAAATAACATAATTTTTTTTTAATTTTATAAGAAAAAGAAATACCAGGTTAAATTATCTTTTAATACCTCGTCAATTAATTTTGAAAATGTTTATTAAAAATTTGTTATATTCAAGGCTGGAATTAGACGTGTGCGGCCCTAAGCTATAACTTATAGCACGTCTTTCCCCTCCATCAAATAATGTGGGCCCTAAATACAAATTCGTAACGCGAGACCCTAAACAGAAGCTTATTTTGTTTATGTGAAAATCTGGTCCTAGATATTCGTATATAACTTATTTAGGCCTGTACAATTCTCAATTTATTATACGTTATATTACTGGGCTGATAGATAAAAATTGAGACCATGTATAAGCTTAGGAGCTGGAGACTCCGATCAACTATATATGAATTTCCCGTCTGGACCGGAAGTCACGTGATTTTTAAATTAAAATATGATTTAAAATTGCAGCCAGGCATTGTGACGTTGTCACAATAAGTAATTGCTCGTTGATAATGTTTAAAGAAATTTAAAACAATATTAATAATTTATTATGCTGAATAAATTTATTTTTACAGATATTTATTTATACAGAAATTAAGTACGAAAATTTGATCAAACATTTAGAATTAATCGTTGTAAAAAATAATTTTAATTTTATTAATAATTAATTTTTTTATTTAATATCCATTTAACATTTTTTATTCCCTTTGACCTAAGTATTCAGTATCGTAGTTGAAATCTTGTTCGCATTCTTCAGTGTTCGCTGACAACTGACAGTCACTAAGGTAGAAGAAAATTAGAAAATGCCCCCAAGCCATTCTAAATTTGTATTATAAACACATATCTGAACTGTTAAATTCGATATAAATGAAGAATTTCTTCTGTAAATTAAACGAATTAGCGATTAAATTATCTTTATTTATAAAATTATTTCATAATGCAATATTAACTTTGTAGTTTAGTTTAAAAATAAATAAATAGAACAATAGAGAAGAATCAGCTTATTGTATAATACATAACATTTTTAAAAAATGCAAAATACCTGAGTGTGCCATAGTGCTGGATAGTGACGTAACACTTCTTGCATTGCTAAAAGTAGCAGTGGAGGATCTATTAATATTGTATTATGAAACTAATGAAGCTGAACTTCCGAGTCCCTAATCCCGGTTTGGCCGTGAAGCAACTTTATTTTAATGAGTGAACGAAATCGATTAAATTGTTTTAAATGTTTATTAAAATAAGGCCATTTTAGTAATACAATCATCGGTTGAATGTCGATCTTTGAATATGCTCTAATACTCATTTCATATGGATTCAATATGTCCCTGTAAATGGTCAAATTTCAACGTTTTCTCCAGGACTTACAATATCCGAACACACAGCAGCATGATTTATTCACAGCCCACGTTCTGGCAGCTGAATCCTCGAATCTTTCGTTAATAATAAGCTTAATAGTTCTTTAGATCAGTCTTTAGGTACAGCCTGACAATCAGGGGCGAAGGACTCCCCAGAACATTCAAGCTTTAGGTTACCCAAAAAAGTAGGTTTGCCACAGACTACAAGTGATAAAGACAGTAAATAAAAATGACTAAAACTCTGCAGTGATAAAAAAGTAGGGATATCGGAAGAAAAAAATGATCAGTTTGAGAGTGCCACAATTAGAAAAGGGTTAAAAAACACTCGAGGTAGATGTTTGTTTAAATATATTTAAAAAGATTCGCCTATTAAATAGGTGAACACTTTTAAACCATGATTTACTAATTAGATATACCTACCTAACGTAATAACTAACTAAAAATAAAATTAATTTATTATTATCTCTTAACATTTTAGAGATGATAGGCTTTTTTTAGAAATTTAAATGCAAAGTATAGTTTATCGCAATGCATCCCTTCAAAAATCTCATATTTATTCAGTAGTTTCTTTTCACGTCTTCATACAAAATGAAATATCGCTAACAAGTAAGACGAAAATATATTTACTCATTCGGAATTTCACCCGGTTTCCATCGAAATAAGAAAATAAAAAATATATAATCTAGCTACATAATTTTTGCACATATTTTTCTTTTTCGGAGATAAACGAGAAGGTGTTAAAGTGTAACGCCTCACGTAATTCGCTTAAAAGATATGACCCCGTCATTTAAGAATTTTTGAATTTTTTGGTTTAACTAAGGCTGTTGAGCGTCTGGAAAAATAGTATATGGAACACAATTTCATATTCCAAGCACGCACATTCGGTGGCTGAGATAAACAGGATCGAACTGATGTAACCTGTTCTGCCAACGATCTTCGTTCTTGACCAAAGAAAAAAGTTGAATGACCCGAGTCGCTTTCATTTAACTCCGTAAATTAACACTTATACTCGTTCAACAATTTAAATAATTATACACAAATCATTTTTCAAGTATGATGCTTCGTGTTAAAGAATTAATAATAATACTGTGACGAATTTTCAAATGAGTGGAGATGGATGGAAACATTTCATTTTGAAATATATCTCTATATAAAGATTTTTATTTTATTGAAGCGTAAAAAAAATGAAAATGAGCATACACCACAAGTACATTATTGAGTGATCGTAAGCTTATTCCTTCCTTAATTATTCGGGTGAATACATTGAAGAATATTCCCTAATCGGATTCTTTTTTTTTAAAGATAGATAAATACCAGTTTCGAACGAAAGTAGGAAATGGAAATTTTTAGAAAAACAAACAAAGCCTGGAGGTTTATTTCCAGAGGATGCTTATAGCGAATGTGACCTTACTACCGTAACACAGTGTTACGTTTGATTTCATGTTAAACGTGTTAATTGAAGGAAGCCCTTAATAAGAATGTCTGAGTCAGAAGTTTCTTTTAATACATTCATTTATCCATAAATTTGTTAAGTCTTATTTAAGTTTAAACAATAATTATTGTTTAAATAAGGTATTAAACAATTGTGCATTATGTTTTATATATATCCGAGCCAGGCTCCACATTCAGAACTAACGCTCTAAAAATACTTTTAATCGTTGTTAAAAATATAAATCGATTCTTTTTTCTTCGAAATTGTTTTCACCTTAGAAAATACAGTTATAGTTAGAAAATATAAATGAGCCATTGTTGCTGTGGGGAGTAAGAGATGCATCGATTCATTTCCTTCAAATTAATGAATGTAGCTCCCAAGAAATCGAATAGATTCTAATATATTTTCGAGAACATTTATAGAAGAATATAGCCATCAACACGTTTTATAAATGTTGTAAAATAAAACGTCGATACAGCATTTGTTTTCGAATCCTTCAATCGAAACGTCAACACACAAGTGCAGCTATTTAATTCCGAACGTAATTTATCGTCACGGTCGGTCGAATTCGTCGTAACGGTAAAAGTCTTTTGTTTTTCCCAAACCGAAGAGGTCGTTTTCGGGTGTGTGACTGTTCTGACCCTATAATCACTCGACCTTACAACCTATCGACTGAAAATGACTTTATCGACGTCTCCCTTTCTTCATAAGGAAAAGCATACATTTCCATTTGTGTATTAATCAAGTTAATTGTAAGCTGTTGGTTGGCATCCAATTACTTTCGCACGTAACGAACTGACTTAATTATACGCTATTGCTACCTTTAAAAGATGGGGAGATGATTATCGAAACATTGCTTTTTGTGTATTTACGAACGAGTTTCGAACGATATCGGTAGAGGTGTAATGAACCACTTCATACATTGGCCTGGGATCAGATGTAGATTAAGATAAAGATATCAACTTCCTTTAAGTGGACAGATAAAGAGCTAGTTGCGTGAATGTCAGTTCCGAACTTTATATTAATTGACATTGCGCGTTTTCATGTAAAATTCGTATAATACGTGTGTGTCTGTCTGAGCAATATTTTTAGTCTCACCTTAAGGGTACGATGCATAACTGAAGAGGCATAATCAAAGCATCAGAACAGCTTAACTGTGACAAGGCCAAGGTTACACAATGCGGAAGTATAGACAGGTCGTTCGTAGTAGATGCAGAACAAGTTTATCGCAGCTTTCCAGACGGAAACTTTCCCTCAAAGAGAAGAGACTAAGAGAGAGCTGCCTTTCACTAACCCTTCGACATGACATCTCTTAAAACGCACTGACTGATGCCAATATCTTCTATAGTAAGAGTAAGCATTTCTTTTTCCTATCCTTTTAATAATTAATATTAAAATGACTATTTATAAATTATATTTATTCTTTCCTAAATAGTAAAATTAATTAAATTTCAATTATTGAATAATATATTTATGTCCTTACTATTTTTAAAACAAAAAATATTAGAGAAGTACCAATTTTTATTATAAATAAATAAAATAAAAAAGGGCTTTTATACGAGAAATATAAAAATTAAAAATTCATTTATTGTAGGATAAATTTTTATTTTCTGTGTTTGTCATGATCGAAATTTTTCTCAGTTTTTACATTGATGAAATAACAGGCATTGACATATTTATAAAGCATGACTCCTGTTCCAGGTAATAATTAATGAACTTGAAATATCGAACAAATCTCTCGTCTACCAATATACATAGTATTTTTGTATTTTTCCTATTTTTCATTTAAGCAATATTAACTATTTCCAATATTTAAATTAAATTTTATTTCAATATTTAATTACGAATTTATTTAATCAAGAAGAAACTAGTTAATAAATCATTTTAAATGAAAATGTGCGAAATATATATTAGGTAAAATATTAAAGAAACCTTTATTTTTTTTTAATTTAATTAAATATTTTAAGATTAGAGCCTACAAAGTTAAATATATTATTTAATCATTTATAATTTTATTTTTATAAAAATTTACTTATATCTCTTCACTACTAATACAAAATTTCATATAAAAACGTTATTTTTAATTAATTTCATTTGATTAAAAGTAATTATTACGTAAATTATAAGCGATAACAAATAGATTTAAAATATAATATTTTAATTAAATTAATAAACCATAATAATTAAATAAATAATTGTTTAAAATACATTTAAATTTATATTTTTAACTATAATAATAATAATAATAATAATACAATTCTTTTAAAAGTGATTTCTGCTTGATTTAAAAAAGATATAAATTTGTAATATTCTAAAAGGATTTAAAAGATAAAAATTGGTTGAAAAATAATCTAACTTTCGAACAATTATACATTTTTAATCCGATATTAAATGATATATTTCTTTTTAAACGTGTCAATAAACATTATTTATCGGCTCTAAATGAAATATATGGAAGATATATTCTGCTAAATCACTTATATAAGATTTACTGCAGGAAATAACATTAGCTTTGAGAGTTTTATTGGATGAAAAAAACTAAAGAAAGAGAACTGTTAGACTAGTCTATCATTATTTTGTTTCATCTCAATTTCATGCTACGTATTTATCTTTGCCAGCTCTCATACATCATTGCTGTGCCATATTGCCTTATCTACTCTCTTAATCTACATAATTGATGCCTTCTCGTTAAAACAGACATGCCTCGGGCGCAACCTTAACCCAACCATTATAAAGTACATTGCATTAATTATCGTGCGCATCCAGAAAGATTAAATACTTATAAAAAATATATATATATATTAAAAAATTTAGAAGATTCGCTGTCTTTTTTTCTTAATAATTTGAATTTAAAAAATGTTAAAATTTCACACGAAATTTTATAATTTTACGCCAAATGATTTTATAATGAAAGAAAGAAAAGTTTATCTCGTGAAATCACGAATCTTCGGAGGGGGGAAATTAATACGGAAGTGAAGGGTGAATGAAGAGTTTTCATATGTTTCCAGCACGAGAATCTTATGCTCGTAATCTTAAAATGGTCGTCATGCGTTGCTTGATGACATTTTCATAATAAATTCTTTGTCTCTACGCTTTCATTTTTTTTTTTTTTTTTTTTGCTTGGCGAATGCTGCGTTTTATTGTCTTCTTCCACTCTTCACCTCTGTAAATAAATGAATTATTTAATAGGAAATAATTCGTTCCGATTGTGATTTAACTAATTTTTGAAGCGCTTTCATGTATTTTACATTATAAAACAGAATTTTCTAAATTTTCTAGTATATTTAAGCTATAATTATAGAGATGCAAATCTCTTATTCACAAAACGTAGAAAAATACAAATTAATAGATTAAATCTCCTTTAATAATGGAGTAACATTTTGATCGTTTATCACGATTAAAAAAAATAATAATAATTTAAAATAAGAAAAAAATAGAAATAAAATATAATATAATACAATGAATTATGATCGTCAATTCGTGTTAAATATAATACAGAGGATGATTGTTTCATGATTAGAATTTAAAATATAAATGATAAATTAGTAAGGTTTTATCGTCTATTATTTACTCAAGCAATTATAATCGACCATTTATTTTGTCGTCATTTATTTTCTGTTTACTTTTCTCATTAAGGGGGTGAAGATACATCATTTAAAATAAGTATTTTATTACACCTGACTAAATTATCACGAGATAATGACTTTTAATAGCATGAAAATTAAGACAATTACGTTATGTTATATATTACGTTTGAACTTTTATTATGATTTATATTGCTTATACACTCGTAAAAAAAACGTTACCGACATTTTAATAAAATATAAAAATTAAAAAATAATTAAATTTTTTAATATTATTTCTTAACCTGTAAAGTTTATAAATCTGTAGAATGTTTTCAAGACTGGTGTTACTGATCATTTAATTAAATAAAATTTCTACACTCTATACTTAATTACTAACGCATTATTTATTTATCCTGTTTATTCTCCTCATTTAATTTATAAATATAGTCAAACTTTTGAATAACGGCCACCGATAGGATCATAAAAACGGAGGTTATTGTATAAATATTTCAAAAAACTTGTCCGTCGTTTACATGTGTATTTTATTGGAGATTCGACTGTATATATTTTAGTATGCTAAATAATATAGAAATATGAACTTGTAATAATATAATTGTAGTGAATTTAGAAAGTTAATATTATTTTAAATGTAATTTAGTCACTTTTATAAAACACTTTGATCTAAATAATTTATAAATCGACTTATTTAAGCAATAATATCGTATGCCGATTAATATTAATATTTTTTTGAAAATTGTTATTACTCTTTATAAGATTTATTTTTAAATTGATTTTAAGCTAAGGTTATACATTTTCAAATAGGAATGTCAATGATTTATTTGGGAGGGAGAAAATATAACAATGAAGTATTTTCGCTAATTATCCTCGGTGTCATCTAAAAATCCTTCTTGGGCAATTTTCTAGAAAAGCGGGTCTGTATCCCTCTGTTTCAACATAAAGTTCAGACGTGATATTTTAGAGCGATAAAGGGAACAAGATAGCACCTACGAATAACACGACATTTCTTTAAGATTCACCTCGACCATGACGTCATCCACTCGGGAAGAACTTTTAACTCTTTCTTTCAAGTTTCCTGCTGCGCTGGATATTTCCATCTCATCCCGTTCTTTTGGTATCTTCTTCCCTCTCTTCGATCTCGGGTCACGGTCAGTAGAAGGCTGCGCAAGAACGGAATTCGGAAGGAAAAAACTTACTTTTAATTCCGAGAGGGTCATTGTCCTCCGTAGAGCATCTGGCTCGATACGGTTGTCATGGATACCCTCCGTCATTAATACTTTCCGTACGCATTTTCCTGCTCGCTTCCAATGAACGATGTAGAAAAGAATCATTTTTCTAACTTGCAATTATTCATTTATATAAAAATATGTAAAAATTAATATTCTCTCTCTCTCTTTTTTTAAATATTCGCAGAACTGTTTTGTTCCTTTAAAAATATGTGCGAATTCTATGCGATATTTGTTTCAGTTTTATTTAACATTTACAAAACCCAGAATATTTACATAAGCATAGGTCTTGGCTATAATATATATTTAAGTCGACCACATTCTGAATCTGGTGTTTTGTTAGGATAAATATATATAATTTAACTGGCTTTACAAACGAATAACCACAGCTTTTCTTGGAAAAAATTCCTTATAATATCTATCATTTAAATGTATTCTTATATTTTATACCACAAAATATGCAAAATAATTTAATATTTTTTAAAGTTTATATTCTGTTAATAAGTAGACATAATAGTTAAGTAAGCATATATTTATAATAATTCATAATTTATAAAATATTTTGAAATTGTAATAAGTCATAAATATCGAGTCATAAAATTAAAATTCTTTTTCAAGGTAAAATAATGATGAAGTATTTTATTTTGATAATCGCAATCGTTCATCAAGTAAGTTTATTATTATTATCATTTAAAATAATCTTGTCAATTATCAAATTATCATTAGTTTTGCTTACTTTCGTGTTGTAATAGAATTTCTTTAAAATTAGTCTGTGTCCAAAATATAATTTTAGATTTCGCTTCTCGAAAGTGTGGCACCGTCTTCTGGTAATCATTTTACCAAACCCGGTGGAAATAAACTTATCTGTGAGTATAATTTACTTGTTAGGATAATAATTTCTAATTGCAAATATATATCTAGCGGGTATAATTTAATATACTGTTTTTTTTTTTTTTTTTTCTAGCAATTCATAACGCTTGCAGCAGGAGATCACTCATGACCTTATTGGTCATGGAGGAACCGTTTTACGGTACTGTATATGCTAAAGGGTATCCGATGGAATGTCGAGAAACAGGAAGCGGTTCTCGAGAACTTAGAATCACTATAGGAATCGATGAATGTGGTACAAAAATAACCGAAAATGAGGTTGGAAAACTTAAAATATATCTGTACTTTAAGAATACGTAAGATCTTTTTACATTGATACCGTTTCAGGATGGAAGTTTAGTTTACGAAGTACTCCTATACATCCAGCACGACAGACAAGTACAGCTGGCTACAGATGAGCATGTGGCTGTAAGATGCACGCCTAGGGAGATTGTGGTTACCACTGCTACAGGTAAACAGTTACCTAAAGAAGCTAAACCATCAGAGGTAAGCAAATAATAAAAGCTGTACTGTATTTTTTTAAATTTAAGAATAAGGGTTACTTAAATAATAGCGCAGCATTTGTCAAATATTTGAATAAAAAAAATAGAATTATTTTTTTTATTCAAATTTGTTGAAAAGTAAATTACTGTAGGCCCTATTATTTTATTTATTTGTTTATCTTAATTGACTTCGAGTAGCTTTCAGTATGAACTATTAATTCTATTTTTAATTAGTTTATTTTCTATATATGTATATATTTATACAAAATCAGTTAAAGCGGCAGAATGTATAGTTTCAATGGATTTATTCTAAACTATAGTTTAAAAAGTAGTACGAAAATTAAAGTATAAAACCTTAACGCTTGAATAAAGACTGCAGTTCCATTGTACAGGTAACATCAACACTTCGGATTACAAAAGTATTCCTTTCAAGGATTACAGAAGTTGTATTATGTAACTGCATTTTAACTATTGCAGAAATATGGTTTTAATAGGCACGATGATGCTTCAAACTTTATCGTATTTAGTTTAATTCTAATTGTACTCGATCAGTGGCGATTCAGATGTACCTAAAGGGGGCTAACTAACCTCTTTAAAACATTTAAATATCGATGGAATTGCAACTTTGCCAAAAATACCACAAAATGAGAAATATTAATTAAAGTTTCTTATTGCAGTACCGCAATAATTGAGATTTATTTTTGCGGTACAGATATTTGATTAAAGCTACGGTACGTTACTCCTTAAGGATCTTAATTAACGGTCTTATTACGAAGTGGTATTCGATTAAGATTATTAACCAAAATTTCAACATTTATTCTAAATATTGTTATTCGATAAGATTAATACTGTATGTAAAAAAATATTTCAGACTTAAACTAACGGGTTTATACCGAAATGTATTTACGCCTGGAAATCTAACCTTAAAACACGAGAAACTGCAAACTGGTTTCGCCTGTTCTGCTTGATTGTAGCAGGAACCACGACACTAAATGATAATGATTCATCTCTCGATCATCGTTAAAGTAGCTTTGTTTTCATATTAGAAATTACTAAATAAATAATATCTAAGTCACATCTAAATGGTGCAGTCGCAATTAGATACTGGTTCGTTGTTTGCGTGTGACCTTCAAACATCGGAAAATCTATTATAATAAGAAGAAATAATGTGAATTTATCGTTGCAAATTGAAAGAATATAATTACATAATCGACTGCCATCGAAGATGAAAACTTTATCGAGTCAGTATACAGGGTTACGAATAAATAATGTGTAAAATTTATTTTAAATAATTAATTTTAAAAACATTTTCGTGATTTTCGGAATTAAAAATTCATATTACATTATATTTTTTTATAAATTTCGGGGGGGAATATGCGCATTATATGTTGAAAAATATAATCGGAAAATACGTGTCGCCATCTAGCGTAGCAATTTTGAAATTTGTAATAAAGTAAAAATAATTTTTAAATTAACCCCGGATTCGTATTACAGATCGTCAAACCATTAGATTATTGGATGGACATTATGAAAGGAAGAATGCCCGGACTTAAAATTATTACGGGTCACGTCGACGTAGGTGAAGAAGTGACTATGATCATTAAAATAAGACAGAAACGTAAGTAATCGCTTCTGAATTTGTTAAATAATACGTTTTGTTGTATTATTTTTATTATTTAATTTAAAGAAAAAAGTTTAAAAAATTTCGAAACAATAAAGTTTTGTATTCAGAGATGTTTGTTACGCTTTCAGACGAAAATCTGATAAAAACTAAATGATGAAAACACACTTATCCAAGCCGAAATTTATATTACGTTTAAACGTCTAAATATTAGTTTTATTTATTTATTTAAGCATCTGCAGCAGAAAAATATTTATAATGGAGTTTATTTTTTTAGCGGGAATCGTAGCAAAAGTAACTAATTGTTTGGCTCACGATGGTTCTCGAGACAATCAGCAACAGTTAACTGATAGAAACGGGTAAATTTCTCGCTCGTACCCAATTAATTATGGGTGTAGTTTGACTTTTTATACATTAAAATTATCTTAAAATCAGATGTTCGTTGGACTTCACTATTTTACCGGAACTTCAAGAAAAAGTAAACGGCAGAACTGGATTGAAAGTAGTCTACGCGACCTTTCCGGCATTTAAATTCCCCGATAAAGACAACCTTCATTTACAGTGTCGAGTTTTAATCTGTAACGGCGTTTGTCCTCTGGTAAGTCCTCCTCCTAAATTACTAAATCGAATTTCGATTTTCGAAAATAAAAAAAAATAATAATAATTTCTTTATATTTTAATTAAGCAACCGTGCAACACCAAGGCCAATGTCAGGTTTTCGAGATCGTCCAAGGGTGTCCTCTACAGAAGGAATAACATTTTAAACGAGTTTAACGTATTTAATTCCGTAGAAGTGAAAGCACCGGCCATAGATGATAACGAGTTAATAAAAAACGTTCCAAATAAATCCGGTGAGTAATATATTTATCACGTGTTCAGTGAAAAACTTCGGTTTAATAACTTAATAAACTTTATAATTTCAGCTAAAGTTCAGCATTTTAAGGCTGACATGTTGTGTCTCAGCTCGACTAGGATCGTAATAGTGGTATTATTACTATTAACTGTTCTCATGGTCTCACTAGTCATTACTATTTGTATGTGTGTCAGGACGCGAGAACTAAGAAGGAGAATATCGAAAAGAACTGGAATGTCCTACCGAGTCATGGATTATACGTGATTATTTTTTTTTTCTCAAATTGTTTTCAGATATTCACCTTTTTCACAATAATTTAAATATTGTTATAAAGTGTTGCAAGAAAGATTTTTCTCTTATTTTTTCTTACAAAACTTTATAAAAAGATGAAGTTATTACGATCAATAACTGAGAAAAATCTAATAATATTCTTTAAAGTATTATAATTCATACACGATTGATTCATAATCCAATTATAAGAGACAATTACACTATTTAAACACGATTTCTGCGAATATTTTAATAAAGTTTAACTATACAATTAATAGATATGAAAATGTTCGACTTCTAAGTGTGAACAGTTCCGTTTTACAACTTTATTATTATTATTTTTATTATTATTATATTTTGCTTTTCTAATTTGAAAATCAATTGTAAAAGTTAACTAAAGATATTTAAACTTCAAAAAACCCTTTTGTAAATATTGTATTATTTATATCTCTCTGTTACAATTTTATATATTTTTATTTATACATTTTATTAAAAAAATTTATGTGTCCTGGAAGGGTGTTTATTGTCAAAATGTAAATAATATTTTAGTAATAAATTATTATAAAACCGCCTCGTTACTCGCTCTTGTAGTGTAATTCCTATAAACATTTTTACGCTCGAGTGATTTCGTGTATAAAATTTGAATGTTTTTACGTATTTTCTACGCTCTATTGAACTATACAATGGAATTATTTATCTGATACTCAATATCGAGCGGAAATGATTCGAAATATAACAGTAGCAATAACTTAATCGAAGTAAACTTACAATTATTTTAGCTTATTACTTGGTTTTATAATCCAAACAATAGTACAAGTTAAAGTTAATAGAATGTTAAAGTTAAAACAGAATTGTTTTAACTTTAACATTCTTCATTTCGGTCGTACATTGAAGGTTTAATATTACTCGAATTAATACACAAGTTACGTTTAAGAAAACATTTGCTCCTCTACAAAGAAGATTTTGTTTTAGCAATTTTAATCAGTTGTTTTTATTTTAAAAAATGAGATAAAAATCAAGTTTTAACATATACAATTAAAAAATAATTAATCTTTGCCAACGACTAATAAAAAACCTTGGGACGTCGAGAATGAAGCGCGTACAACAAACAAAAAAAAAGTATATTATTGTTACTAGCGAGATACTAGATTTCATTTAAAGAAGCTCATAAACTACGCCCAAATATAGAAAAATATCATTAACCTTGCATCAAACAAATCTAACAATATTTTATGACTTAAAATATTATATTGTGCTTATTAAAAAAATGATGATCATATAACACATCACGTGGACCGTTGTCTGTAAAGTCTACATACATCTCGCGCCAAGATGAAATGATATTTGAAGGCCGTTCTTTTGTCTTTTGTAAAAGTTTTAATAACTTTGTGCCTTGATAAATGCCTAGATTGGCTTCCGCGGTATTCAAATAATATTTTTTTTTTACAATTTACAGTACTTTGTCTGGAAAGATTCGGAATGAATACTAATTTCATTTTTTGGCTACCGTACCTGCTTTCGTACGAAAGATAAGATGGATCCAATGTTATTAACAATACAAATTCTCTAGGAAATTCCATCGCAATTATGTATTATCCACCTAAAAAACAATATATATTTATTGAATAATTAAGGCGCATCACCGATTCGATTGTTTTAAAATCATTTTTTTGGATCGATATTACTCGGTTAAGTCAGAATCGGTATTTACGCGAATCGCATTACGTAAAATAATATGCCATAAAGTGATGGTTTTCAAGAGACGAAAACAAAAATTCAAATGGCGAATGAATAGTCTCTTGTAAACATTGCTCCCGTTCTTAAAGCATAAATGACACATTCGCAGAAATATCATTAAAGTATATAATTGCATAAATTGAAGAAATCTGGGGACATAAAAAAGAAGAAAGGAAGTTTTCTTAATAAAATAAATTATTCCAGAAGAAGAAATGGTGTCTTTTCATCCAAGCCAATTAAATGACAATTCGCTCCTGACCTGGTTCAATTTGACGAATGTGGGTCAAATTCTGACCTCGCACAAAAGAGCAGAGAATGAAAAGAGAAAGCGGTAGCACTTCGCTCTCTTCACACTTCACTTCTTCACGAAAATCAGCAACAATTGTTTCTGCAGTAAAATATTACTAAAGTCAGACGTCTCTCTTCTGAATAAAGTTCATACCTTTTGTAATGTTTTACTAAAATTATATGAAACTTTTTTCTCTTAAGATTTTTTAAGGAAAAATTAAGTAATAAATATGTACACTTATACGCTATAATTATATCGTTTATATTCAATAAATTGTATTTTCATCGAACGGAATCTCTAACAAATAATTTTAAGTTTCGCGATTATTTATAACTATAATTATTTATGCTATCTGCTTCATCGATTTCCAGATGAAGGGTAGAGTATGATAAACGTATCCGTGTCTATAATACCAAATATGTATAAAAATAATACGAAAAATGTTGACGATAAGATCAAAAGAAGGAATGTTTTGATTGTGTCTCTAACATAATAGCATTTTGCGAATTACAAATGAGAATAGTTATTTTCTTCCATAAATCAAAACAAGTATTATGAAAATAAATATATCAACAGAAGAATTTACTAACAAAGTGAACCTTCTTCTGCATGCCACTCCTTTATTACTTTAATACAAATTTTATGAATATTTTTTTTAATTGGGTTTAATTAACTCTTATTGTATTACTTCGAATTTAAGACACATCGGACTTCTAAAAATTGATTTTCAGAGTAGAAATTCGATGATAATTTTAAATATATATAAATATATATATTAAAGAGTATAAACGTTAATAATGTGTATTTAAAATATAAAATTTTCATTATAAACGTGACTTCTGAAGAGCGAAAAAGAATATCTCCAACTTATATCTCTTCCAAGTTTAAGTTCGAAAACGTGAAAAACGAGTTTCTTACATTTATTAATTAATGGAAATTCAAAATTATTTTCTAAAAATATACAAATATAAAAGCAAAACTATATTTAAATAGAAACCGAAAGTGCAGCACGACCTACGATCTTGTCCAAGATCCATTTAACACAGACGAGCAAACAACAAAGAAAAACACAAAGTAGAAACAATAACGAAGATTTTAACCTCAATGGTAGAATCTCTAAATATTTTTAATTCTGCTGTCGATCAAATTATTAAGTAGATATATCTTATTGACGATTTCTTTTACCTTAAAAACGAAATCAAGTTTATTATATCACATTTATTCTTCATCAGAAATTTTTTATTCACTAATTATACGTATAAGCGTAGGACCTCGAACTATTCTCAAAGACTTTATACATTATATTTATACAGTATACAAAGAGTGTTTATATATTATACATATTTCCCATTATTTAATGAAGAAGGAATGTACTCCTCTATGCTGTAGAGTAGGGTCACGATTATAAATTCGGCTTTAATACATATGTATACTTATTATGTATGTTATTAATACATAAAAGTTTAGGTAAATTTTAAAAACATTTAGAATAATTTTTAAAATTAAATTATAGAATAAAATACGTTTTTAAATTAGATCATTTTTATGTCTGATTTTACCTTAAATTACATATAAAGCGTTTTTTAAATAAGATTTTTATTATAAAAAGAAAAACTTATTAGTTGCAAGCAGTCATTTGAAGTGTAAAAGTGTGTTTAGTCAAACAAACTTTAGTTAAACTACACGCTAGATGTTGTAGCGATTTAAAAATTCAATCAAAAGATAAAAAAGATAATATAAAAGCCAATGTTTGAATGAGTAATTAATAAAAAATTAAAAATTTGTTACTCAGATGGTTCAATCGCATGAATTCATCATAAAATATGTTGTAAGAGTTTTTATCTTTTGTGACTTTCTTAAGCCCAAAACACGTGTCGTGGATTTAATTTCACTATTTAACTAATCTTTTTATAATAGTCAACACAAAGTTGAATAAAAACGATCATTTCTAAAGATATTTTTGTCGGTTCATATTGGCTACCTTGTTCCAGTTACCCAATTCTTTGGTCAATGGATGCACATCCTCTGCCTCTTAATTTTTCCTTCCTGTTTTACACGTAACATCCTCCGTCTAAAAGACAAACGGATACTTCTTACTCGTAATATGGCCAAATGTTAACAATTGCAGTTTTTCTTCGGTATTACAACAGTTTCCTGGATGTAGAAGTAGGAAGATACTTTATGCATGGGTGCAACGCCAAACCGCAGTAGGAATCGGTGGTGACGCGCTCTGACGTCACTTCGGTGAGCGTAATTGTGGAATTATTATAAGGAGTATAAAATCCTTGCCACTTAAATAATTAAGACACTTTGGTGTGCCTTTTGGATATACAAGGATAACCTTTCGACTGCGGTAAGTGACTTTGTACTTTCGTATGGATCGGAACGGCTTTTACAATCATTTCATTCTGGTAAAGGGGACTTATATTTAGAAAGGAATCTGCAATTATTATGAAGATTTTCTTTATATAACTTTTATTAACGTAAATTTATTTATTTTTCAGATTAAATTGTTAAAAANATTTTTAGTCCGATTATTAACAAATATAATAAACTAATGAATTGTATTTATACAACATTTTAAATTAATTTTTATAGCTTTTCTTTAAAGGGCAATTTACTTTAAAAATTTATCGTAAACATCGAAAATGAATTAAATCTTTTTAAAGAAATAACTTTTGTATTTAAAAATTTCATCTGTTTGACATTTCAAATGAAAATATAATGTTAGTTTTATTTTATAATAGTTAGCTTTTTTATTTTAATTTAGAATTTTTTCATTGTGATATCAAATGACCAATACGAAATTAATTAAGAGTATAAACAGAAATTCAATTTATTTTATTAAAAGAGTTTTAAAATTAACAATTGAGTTTATTTGAACATGAAGGATAAGCAAAGGATGTCCTAAGATTTGTATATATTTATACAAAGAGAACAAAGGCACTTTCTCTTTCTATGTCTTTGTTCTCTTTGTGTTGTTTATATACACAGAAAAAGAACAGATATTACTAATTAATACAAAAATAAAATACAATTCGAAATAAGATTTCGATTATCTTAATTTAATTTTAGGAAAATACAAAAATAAATAATTTTTGAATGATTTAGAATCAATGTTAATAAAAAAATAGAGACAAACAAAATGCACTGCCTGTGTTAAAATAAATTATAATAAAATTTTAATATTGTTTAATAAATAATTTTACAGTTTTTCCACGTTTTATTTTTCGCAATGCTTTCATTATCATCCGTTCCTATTTCTCCTCTTATCAATTAATGAAAGCATACTCCTAAAAGCTAGTTATTTTGATATAAGAGATTATTATAATAATTTATATATATAAATATAATTATAATTAATTTTTAAAATCTTCATGCAATATTAAAAGATTTTTAGATTGTCGTAAATAATATAAAGTAGACTTCACTGTAAATATCTCTGTATATGTAAGGAAGAAAGAAATAAAGGGGTTTTCTCGTTTTTAGTCGATACAATTTTATTCATCGGGAAATGGGAATGTTTCATTTACTGTTTATAACGTAAAGCTTTCATCATTTAATTATTTCAGATGGTTCTGTATTTAAATCGTTTTGGAGACATCCTTCTCCATTTACTAATTTCAACAGTTGTAAGTAGACTATATTTATTAGCTTACTAAAATAAATGAGTGATTATTATTAATATGAAATCAAATTACAGATAGCTATGGAGACTACATTCGTAACTGAAGAATTAACTAAAGAGACTACACAATCTCAAACGGCAGAGACGACTTTACCGACCGATTTTAGTACAGAATACGGACCAACTACCGATTTCACTACAGAATCCTCTACATTAAATGCGGATTGGACTAATCAAACTCCTACTACTGAATCGGAAACGGGAGAAGTAATCGTTCTGACATCTCATACAATGAAAGAGGGGGTGACCGAAACTGTCGTCATAGAGATTCAGGAACAGTTGGATCATCCTCTTGCTTCTATAGGACATTTAGGGGATGTTCCTACAGGATTAGTCAGACCACGCGATGTCACCAGAGTTATAGGTAATTAATGAATTAATTTCTCTCAAAATATGCATTTCTAAATTAATGCGGTTTCGTTACTTTCAGATATAATTGCCGACTGTTTTACTGACCATATGATGATTCATATTAAATTCAACGGATCGTTTCGAGGTTTAATATATACTACTGGATATTCTCACGATCCAGAATGTGTATACGTTAATGGCTCTGGACAATCGGAATATCAATTCATGATTAGACACAACAAATGCGGTACCTTAGGTAGAAGAGAGATAGAAGACGAACAACCCCCAGTGAAAGAACAGGAAGTATGTTTATATTTAAATATTTTAAGAAAGAAAATAATTCTTTTGATGTAATTTGCTAAATATTATCTTAAGGAGGGAAATCAGCAAGTGTGGAACACTATCACAGTTCAGTATAATCACGACATAGAAGAAGAATGGGATGAACATTTTCGTGTCATGTGTCAATTCGGATATGATCTTTGGAAAACCGTCACCTTTCCTGTTGTTAATGTCCAGTAAGCAGAATTAAATGCGACTTGCTTCTAAATTTAACAGAAATTTAGATAATCATACGAAAATATATTTATTTCAGCGTCAACACTGGAAGTCCAGTGATATTTACTGTTTCACCTCCCCAGTGCCATATGGAAATCCGACATGGATTCGGGACCACTGGTGATCTTATATCTGGTCCAGTTAATGTAGGAGATCCTCTCACTCTGCTAATTCATATGAAAAGCGATAACAGTATCTATCATTGTTTACTTTTTGAAACTTGTTCTATAACTGAAACTATTTATAATAATTTATTTTATTCTCGCTTAATTTAGGCGATTTTGATATGATTGTTAGTGATTGCTTCGCTCATAACGGTGGACAAAAACGTCTTCAACTTACAGACGAAAATGGGTAGGAATTTCATTATTTCATTACCTTTATAGAAAATGACTGTCTCTCTATACGAGATTAAATATTTTCAGATGTGTTCTGAAAGAAAAACTAATCAGTAGTTTTCGAGGACTAACAAGAAGCGAGGGACCTCATTTTGTTTCTCTTTACGCTTATCTTAAAGCATTTAGATTTACTGCCAGTCCAGCACTTTACTTAGAATGCAAAGTCCACATGTGTCAAGGAAGTTGCTCGGTAAATTTGAATAACTTATAATAATATTCGAGATTTGCATTTATTTCAAAACGTTGTTAGAGATTGGCACTGTTAATTTTTGAGGATTATTTTTTTTTTTTAGAATCAAGCTTGTCACTGGAAGAATGTGACGAAACGTTCTCTGTATGAAAGACTGGTGACGAAATCACCGGAACCTATCATAGCCGAAAATGTTAGCTTGTTCCAAGCTTTAGAAGTTCGTCAAGATACTAAAGAAACATCAAAAACACACGAAGAACATTTAAGTAAGTGGTTTTATTAATTAATATCATTTCTTCGTGTAATTATATTAGATTTACGGAAGCTCAAAATTTTATAATTAACACTTATAATATTTATGATTAGATGATATTCCGAAAAATGATTTATTCTGTTTGAAAACTGGTGGATTTGCGGCCATCTTTTCTGTTCTGTTGACATTATTGACGACCACAACAGTCACGACTATTTGTTTGGGGATAAGAGTGAGGAAAGTAAAGAGTATAGAAACCGTCCCATCAGTCGTCAGCTACAATAGTACAAGACCTTCTATCAAAATGTTATGAGCAATAACTCCAGCCATATTTATATCTTTATGTTTTAACAACGACCTCAAATGTACGGATTTTTATAATAATATTAATAATTTATGTTCAGTTTTTCGGAGTCATTATTATGATGTTATATGTCATTACTTGTCACAGATTGTTTGAATGATTCTACATCTAGTTGATGTAATTTTTAAGAAAAACGAAAAATAATATAGAAAAAATTGTCATTAAATATCATTAAATTTTAATTATTTATATTTAAATAATAATTAAAAAACTATTCTTTATTTAAACTGATAAATTATTAAATGTTTGAAAAATTCATTTAAATTAATTTTATCAGTTAGATAAAGAAAAGTGATTGATTATATGTTTTAAAAAATGTTTTCTTAATTAAAAGCCTGTAAAAAATTATTCAGATTTATTATTAAACAAGAAAATTTTTTTAAAATTTTTGTTTGATTAATCGTTTTTTTTTTTTTATTTTTACTTTATAAGAAAGTTTTCCTTTTAAAATAAAGTCGTGACAATAGCTATTTTATAAATTCCATATAAGTTAAAGATAAGAGTGAATGTAGTTTGTAATATCACACGAAATATATTAAATTTAACCATGCATCACTTATTATACAAATAAATCTATTATTCTAAGATGAATGCATCACTTTATTACATTCGATAAAAGAAATTGAAAATTAGATTGATGAAAGACACAAGAAATAAGAAACGTTCAAAATTACGATGTATTAAACATTTTAAAAATTATTTTACTGGAAAAATTAAGCAGGATATAAAGTAGAACCGGGTTAAAGCGTTTTCAAGGGACAAATTTAAACTGGTCCTTATTTAGGTGTTAGAAAAACCGGAAAACTGCACGCGAACTCGCCACCAACTACCATTGTTTTATCAATACTTGATAAAACTGTAAATCTTCAACGAATTTTAGTGTGGTGTTTGTAGATTTGTGGTTTTCTTTCTGGGATTCATAAATGCATTTTTTACATACAAAATGGATGAAGCGAGCTACATTAGATAAATGTTCTATCTAAATAGATACCGCATAAGCTTAATTCAGTAAATTCGCTGTAATGTATCGAAACATTGTTAAGTGAGTTCGTTTTCCGGTTGGAGACAAGGATTTCCATCTATTTACGCGGGAAAGTTTACACATACCCTATGGCCTATGGGAAAAAGTTGGTACTTTTGAAATTAAACTTGTACGTGAGAAAACTAATGCGAAAACTTCTTAACCGAGTTCTGTTGTATTTATAATTGTTGATGAAATAGTTGGCAGCTTCAAAAATTATTTCGGATATTTAAAAAGCCGTGAAGAAAACCCCACGTGCTCATAGTTGGTCAGGCATGAACCCGCAACAACTAATTACCACTAGCTCGGTGGTTTTACCCACTCGGTCACTAGTAGGCTGACTAATATTGAATCTTACTCAAAAAATATGTTTTCAGAAATATAATTAATTCAAATTAATAATTAATAAATTTTATAATATTATTAAATAATAATATATTTTAAAACAATAGAATTTATACATAAACGTTTATCCACTTGCCAACACGTTGCACTCTATTACGGACATGAAATCGTGGTGGAAAGAGATAAAATCCGCTTTAAAATCTAAATCTGGGTAAGAATCTTGCAGAAATCGAAAATATTAAATAAACAAACATACAGTATTAGTTTGATCATTTTTAATGTTTGTATAAAATGATACTAAATATGTCAATAGTTATAATATACATCGTTAGTAAATTCTCTTCGATTTCTTGCTTAACTTCTTAGTTTTTACCTGAAAAGGGAAGAACTTTACGTAATTTTGAACTGATGAAATGTGTACATATTTTGTTTTGACCATTTCGCATTTTAAAAATAATAATTTTTAGAGAAATAGAGAATCAATTAATGAATCCGCTATAAATAATTGATTTATGTAGGATTTATAAGCATTGAACAAAGTTATTTATTTGAGTTAAAATTTATATTAATAATTTGTTCCCACGGATTTACATAGTGACATTTTATATACAGTAATTTTGAATATAAAAAATTATAATAATTAAAATAATAATTTTTCGTTATGAAATAATTTATAATCTTTTATTTATAGATCGAAAAAATCAAACAGCGTCATTCCTAAACAAGATTTCAATTCTGATAATTTGGGGATCGGACTTAGCAATATGAATCATTTAAATCCTGTTTATTATAGAAGGGCAAATAGTTTCTTAGAGTTGGAATGGTTAAACAAGCACCAAATTCCCGATAAATTCATGTGGAATGATGACAGGAAATTCAGCAAAATTATCGAAATAGGAATAGAAGCATTTCCTACAAAAGATTCTACTGCTATCAAATTTAACATGAACGATGGAAGTTCAATGGTTAGTAAAACATTTTACAAGAGGCCATTGTTTGTCGACATTTCGGATAAAGATAAAAAGATAAAATCGCAAGAAGACGCTGAAATTACAGCAGACAAAGAGATTGACTTTGAGGAAAAGAATCCGAATTTAACACGTCAAAAAATCAATTCCGAAAATTTTGGGCAAAATGAAATTGAAGAAAATCCAGATATTCCTCCTCCCTGCGATGGCGCCAAAGCAACACAAGATCGTGATGACGTACAGAAAATAAGCCATGAAAAATCACTTGAAAAAATAATTGACATTAAAAATGAAACAGAAGATAAGAGCCACACAGATATGCAAAGAATAAATCATTCTAATAATATTGAGGTATACAACAATTATGAAAGCTTAAATTAAGTTTATATATTTTTATTAAATAACAAAATCATCATTAATGCCTATTTTCAACATTCTTCCAAAAGTTTATAATTTATTAAACAATTTTTTTAAAAATAATAATGAATTTATAAAACCAATTCGTCAAAAATTGTTTAAATGGTAAAAATGTTACTCGGCGATGGAATACTACTGAAACCGAGTTGGTATGCATCACAAAGACAGGCAAAATTAATGACGTAACCAAGATTTTGAGAATTTTGACGCTGCAAAAAGCAGATTAAGGGGGACTAAAGCATGGGCCCGTGTCGTTGTTCGGAAAATATTACTCCATTACCTTAGAATTACTTCACTTACCTAATCTTACCAGATTGAAGTCATGCGATGTTCGTTTTATTTTTATTTTAAAGTGGCAAAACTGATTACTTTGATATTAAGGGTTATCAAAAAACTGTACTATAAGCACCACCCTGGGAATTTGTCCTAATGTAGTGATCTGTTTGTTTGTTAAGTCATGGCAACACAACACTTGGGCGATCTGCATAGGGGTGCCTTCTGGAAAGTCTTTTTAGGGAAACTGGCCCCTATTTAGGCGTTACAGACGTGGAGAAAACCCGGAAAACTCCACGTGGCCAGCTAGTCTGAGTGAGGCGTAAACTCACGACCGAATTCCCAGTGTTCAAGGTACGAAGACCGCTTGGCCACTGATGGGCTCATGCAGTGATCTGAAGAACGTAAAATGCAGTAGGCCAAAGAGAAAAATTGGATTTTATGTTTTGAAATCTATATTTCCAAAGTATAAAATTCATAATTTATATCATATAGTAGTTATATCATAGGACTGATAGCCTTAAAACGTTAATGTTGCACATATTAGAGTGTAACATTAAAAGTTATATTATAACTTTCTCAAGTTTATTTTCAATATTATACTTTGGTACATTTTCGTCACCCACTCTACTTACAGCGCATAATACAAACTATTTATAAACAATTATTTTTCTTTTTTCAGAATCAAATAGCAGTTGAAAAAGGAACCCAGACATCAATCATTGCCTTACAAGAATCTTTAAATGAAACATCAAAGAGTGAAAAAGAAACTGATCCCACGATTCTAGAACAAGAATCTCCAGAGATGGTTTATTTCCAGTCTTTTATTGAATTCCTGACAGACGATAATAGTTTCCTAAGCGATGAGGAATACTAAATCCTAAAATTTTATCGCCATCTTGTAAAATTATATTGAAATAAAATCTCAAAATAATTATACAATTTTTTTTTGTTGAAATTTTGATCAGAATTAACTACTATAGATTTTAAAATCAATTTACATTTGGGAAATTATTGAGAGCGCTTAATAATTCGGCAAGTATAAACAAGTTTGATTGAATAGTAAAGTTTATCGTGCAAACGATTTTAAGATAATGCAAATACCTGTCACTCAGCAAGTAGTTGCTTATGTACAGTACATTAAAAACAGTAGCGGAACTACAACGGCGCAAAATATTTCGGCGAACCAGAGCCCGGAATTAACAAGGGCTCGAGCGTGTCAAGCAAAAAGCTTACGGTTATAGTTATGTAGGTTATAGTTGTTGCACTAAAGGAAGAAATCATCTCTGCATTTTGTAGAACAAAATCAGTTCTACTAGGTTCAGAAATATCCATCGTTCTTGTACTCGGCAAATGTCGTGAAGTCCAAGACCGTCAATTTGAGCATTTAGTATCATATAATAAAACTTTAAAATACGGTTTGCCTATGGATCCAGACTTTTGGGGCACCCTATATATTGATTAAAATGGGACACGTGTATATCCATTTCTTATCCTTAATGACGTACTTTGTAACGCACAGTAACTGTAGATAAGTATATACAGTATAAGCCAGTGTTTCTCAACGGAGGCGATATCGCCCCCATGTGGGCGTTTTTCCATGTTGAGGGGGCGATTTGTAACAATTTATATTTTGGGGGGCGAAAAACAATTTTCTGGGCGATATAGTAAAACATTATATTAAGATTAATCAGTTATTTTATTCGTTATATCGTACAATAATTAAACAAATAACATTATACTAGTCACTAGTCTATTCAATGCAGTACGAATTTGGCGTTAGCCCTGGCCCTCGGCATCGGAATTTTGAAATGAAGGAGGCGATACTACGTAACGGTTTTATTGAAGGGGGCGACGATTCGTTAGAGGTTGAGAAACACTGGTATAAGCGTAACAAATAAGCATATTTTATAATCGCATATAATTATTGATTCGCGATGAGAAAAAAGTTGAGAACACTACCACAGAATATAATACAGAGACAAAACTCTCATGTAATTGGAAATTATTAAGTCATCTGTCGATTGTAGCGCCGCGAAAGTAATCCATATACTTAACATTGCGTTAGGTTTTGATTAATATACTTTGAAATACAGCAATTGTATTACAATTGTTACAGTTCATGCAATGGCGTAACGAACGTAACTGGTGCCCGGGGCACGACACTATATTGACGCCCCCTCCCCTCCAGAAACAAATCTTGTTTGTCTTGGAGACCATTTGGCGCCCCTCTGCGAGTGGCGTCCGGGGCACGTGCCCTACTTACCCAACCCTAGCTACGCCTCTGAGTTCATGAAACTTTAAATGCCCAGTGCTTGACGCACCCAGAACATAAAAACAAACGAGTTTCTTGATTATCGGAAAGACTCCTGGTTCCGTCAAGTTCAGACAAATCGAGTTTTCACTGCATATATATACAGGTAACCCCCGTATAACACGGCACTTCTATAGCACGGATTCATTCTAACACGGTTCGAGAATTGGAAACATCCCCCGTATAACACGGTGATTTTATAGCACGGGTTCACTCTAACACGGTTCGGGAATTAAGTAAAACTCTCGTACAACATGAAATGTAATAAAGGGTGCGCTCTTATATACTTCCGCGTAACTCCGCGCGAGCATTCTAATTGTTTTCGTGGCTACTTTGAATGCTCTTTCAAGAATAATCCATTTAATGATTAAATTTTACAATTGGGACCCTTCTTTTGCCTCTAAAAGCTCATTTTAGAATTTAGATTCCTCCATCACGATACAATCGACAGTGCAGGCGCCGCCATCTTTCTTTCACCGTCGTTCCTAAATGCCTACAAACAGCAGCGTACTCCTGTTGCAGAGAGACCGCTATTAACGAACGCACCCAAAAACTGTTACCAGTTGATGATGATGCTCATGCTGAGGTCATCATATAAAATGAATAATCCTCTGGTAAAATATTTACTTAAATAATAAATAAGTATTTTACCTATGGAAAAAAAGAATAATAAATCCGATTTAAATAAGGATTTAACAGCATGTTTTTTAATTTTTGGAACCTAACACCCCTTTTCGCACTAGTTCTTTGTTTCGCATAACACGGCAATTTTTTGGAACGTAACTCCCTACGGAAGTTACCTGTATATAATAAATTTTTATTATAAATAAATACAACTCTACATAATTGCATAAAATCTATCATTCATTAATCACGTGTATATATAATTTATTTATTTACTGGAAACCTCAAAAACATTGTTGAGACAAGTTTTTCTTGGTTATCTACATCCGAGAGACCGTTCTTGTCCCGTTCAGTCCAAGACCGGACAAGAACAGCAATTTAAGCATTGACTTTTTGATAGATAGATAGATGATTATGATTGGTATGCAAAATTGAAATCACAATAAACTTTCTTTTGTAATATGAAAACCAACATATTGTCAACATGTAAACGGTCCTAAACTGTTTCAACGATAACGTGGTCGTGGTGGTCTAGGGCCGCGTTTCTCATCCAGTGGTCCGTGACACGAGAAACTTTGGGAACCACTGATGTTGGGTTTAAATGGGATAGTTAAAGGTTATACTACACTTTTTTTTAAACTCTCCGCTCTGTGGGCACTAAGAGGGCCTTTTAACAGGCCCATTATGGGTTCGGCCAGGCCCACAATGGGACTGCCGGGTGGTGGGGACAGGGCCCGACATATCCGAACGGACCACCTCCGAAAAATTTCGGGGATTTCTCGACCCGTCCGGATCGGTCCCGAGTCCCCCAGAGCGGTAGGCTGCCACCTTGACCGCTCGGCCATCCTGCCGTAGATTATATTTCACTACACTCAAACTAACAAAACTGACTAGTCTACAAGACATTTCTGACAAAAGACTTACTATTAGGTTCTCTACAACGAATCATACAGACTAGAAAGCTACTGGTATAACAGCATAATTGTTTATAATCAGCTTATAGGCTAATACGCCAGTTTCCGACCGAACTCTACATCTCACTCGAGCTCTAGGCTGTACGATTTCCGAAAGATAAGTAAGCTATTTATCGTGAGGTCAAGAGTTGTCCTCGGAGCTTTCCTATCCAGCAATGAAAGCAGCTTCTCGGGCAACTGAAGTACATATACTGTAAAGGACAAGAGCTGAGAGAGTGAAGAGTTAGGATGATGGAAGGCATCGAAACAATAATGTGGAATCTTCCCGATCTAGTCCAGATTTTTAAGCTCAATTTTTGGTTACGCCTCTTGCGCCATAATTAATCATTCAATTTGCAATGTGTTTTCCTCTTCTTTGACATTAGAAAACAGGCTCCACTTCGAGTTAAGGATGACTCATTTATCCCGAAGTTTGAAAAGCGTATCTCCGTCTCTTCTTCATTTACAGAAATATTATCTTCAAGATAGCTTGCTTAGAAAATTTCTCCAGAGAGAAATGTAGCACTGCTCTACCATGATCGTGAGTCAGCAAGTTCCTCTGCAGTTTCAAACTCTGTTGGAGGGCATGCATGATCAACTCCAGCCTTTACATTTATTTTTGTAAAATATGAAATATACATCTAAATCCGTTAAAATGTTTAAATTTCTCTAGCATGGTTGACTTATTTCTGAATGATTTTTCAGAAATATTTCCAATTCTTCCAATGTCTTCATACTATATTTTATATCGCATTCAAAATATATTGAAGTTAATGAAGTGTTACCAATTTGAAATTAAATGGATAGCTTTAACATAAACGTTCGTAAATTAAATACTGTACTTTGAAATATTTTTCATTACAGAAAAAATAATTTGATATAATGAATGAAATTTTAGGATTATTAGATTATTTGGAAATTTAATCATTTGCGAAACAGTTTAATTAATTTAGACTCTCTTCGTGCCTGTTGAGAGATTGATTTTATTACAATACTCAACAAATAAAAAATATATGCCACTGATATAGTGGCTGTATAGGTATGTTTGATACAGTTGTTCCATTGTTAGGTTATCGTAATAGAACCTCTTCTTTTTCTCATCACTGACAGGACCCAAATTTTCAGGGAAATTTAAATGTGAATATAAAATGTGGATTTTTGGAATATTTTTCAGTCCCCAAATTTTTTCAAAATTTTTTGCCCGCGCGAAAAAATTTTATCGCGATTTTAAAAAACCTTTAATGACGCGCGCTTCACGCTTTATTGCTTTTTGTTTTTTAATGGGAGTTTGATATCAAATTTCATTCATCGTTCTAAAGTTGTAGTGCACCGATTTTCCTTCGGTAAAGTTATTTAAAGCTAGTTTCTGATGTCAAAAACGACCTCCGATAGTTTTTAAATTTTTTTAATTAATAGATTTTATAAGTTTAATTAGGGGGGTCGGAAATCGCAATAAAAATTTTAATTTTTTAAAAATATTTAAAAATATACAGCCAACTAGTAGTCACCCTACTATAAACCCATCGCCTCCCGAGACTTCTATGAGAATGTCCCGGGAAATCCAACTCCAGCTGTGTTTAAGGTCATCCAGCTGTGTAAACAATGACTCATCGGTCTTAAATTTCACAGAAGGGCGAGACAAAGGAAGTTAAACTTTGAAGCTTTTTCTTCAAAATTAACGCATTTCTTGTATTCATGTAATTTCCTTTTATATGAATCCCTCTTAATGAGCACCATACCCTTTGTTTTATC